TCCCCTCAGACCGGTTCTGCAGTCCAGTTCACCACGCAGCTGCACAAACAGCCACACTGGTGCAGCAGAAGGGTTGTCACAAGGTAAGAAACAAGTGGCCGGGGCAGTGGCGGCTAAAACCAACCTCCCTGCCAAAAGAAGTGATTACAAAACTACACCCTTAGAAACCTTAGCAGCACTGGCAAGAAAAAAAAAAAAGCCACCTCAAGTGGTATTTCTTGTGATTAAACCTTGTTGGGATGTGCTGCCTTTTAAAATGTAGTGGTTTAGAAATGGAAATGCTTAGGAAAAAAAAAGAAAAAAATAGTCCTGCATTTCAGCTAAGGAAAAGAAAATGTTTCTAAGTTGCCAGACTCCTAAATACTAGCATTACAAAAACTGAATAAGAGGTTGTTTGAATTTTAATAACAACTCCAAAAAAACCTCTGTTCTGTCAGTCTGTAACCAAACCAGACATACCCTGTAAAACGTCGCAAGATTTAACAGCTGTTAAAAGAGCAAACATATCTTGGAAATTTCTTGTATCTCTTTGCTTAAATGAAATACACACCCTCCAGCATGAGAAAAACCATTTAAAATTTCAGAGAAATGTTCTATTTTAAAAATTATCCATAAGTCCCCTTAAAACCATGCAGCACATAATAGCAAAAGGCAAGACGACTGTAGAGACAAGGAAAGCAAAATGACCCCAGTACGTGTCACCTAGCAGAAGATACTTAACCGAGAAGATTAAACAAGATGACGAGCTGCCCTTTGCTCCCTTCCACGTGCAACAGAGAGGGGGGGATCTCGGGATCCCAACTGGACTTCATCACTCTCTGAAGGTGCCGCTCCTTCGCTGCTGACCATCGGCAGCCAATGCCAGGCAGGCACCTACCCGGGTGCCTCCCTCACCTGCGATAAATCTGGGTCACTGTGCCAAATGTCAGGGTTCTTCTGATATCTCTGATTAAAGGAATAGCTACTTCATGATTACATAAACTGTACTTTAGCCCACGGGTCCCTGTGGCTTACGTGTGTTTCATTCATACAGTTATAAAGTTCTATCTTGCCTGCGTTTTGCAAATTTCTCTACTATTACCACCTGCCAGTAAATTTCATGGTTGTGCTATTAGAAAGTAGCTGCAGTTTATAGGGTTTAGAAGACCAGCCCAAAAAGGTAGGATGCTTGGATGTGTCTTTGCTATCTTTGAATCTTTCGCCAGAAAATGTAGTAAAGCCCAGCGCTGCTTGTGGCTGCTCTGAATGTCTGCAGATAGCTCTGCAGATCTGCAGCTGAGCTGAAGCTGTCTCTACACCCCAGGCATAGCACCCCTCTTCCAGGAAGGAAGGTGTCAGCCTGATGACAGCCATGCATCAGCAGGTGGACGGTGGGATTGCCAAAGGGCCCAGCCGACTCAAATCCCAGCTGGACACGAGAAAAATATTCATTCTTTGTAGTGAAATCTCCTACCCGCCCTAGTGCAGCTCTGAAACGGGCTGCCTGGAAAGGCAGGACCTCCATCCTTGGAGGTTTCCGAGACTCTGCCAGCCAAAGTCACGGCTGTCCTGCCCACACATTGGCAATAGCCCAGTGTGAGTGGTAGGATGGACAATGACCTCCAGGAATCCCTTTCATTTCTATAATTGGAGTATCTTCCGACCCAATTCACATCTCCTGTACTCTGTCTTTACAGTAAGTTACGTAGTTTAACATTGTTTTGTCAACATTCATTATACCTACCCCATCCTCACAGGCAGAGGACATCAGGAGAGAAGAGATTGTCCTTTGTAACAGCTGGAATGAGAAAATTAACAGGTTTTGTTCATGACAAAAATCTTACGTATGCAGATACTCTGTTTGCAAGTTAAAACAGTCAAACAAAGATTTTTCATTTTAATACAGAACAGTTTTGTTTCTCAGGCCAAGAAAGCAGAGGAGAGGTGATACAAAAAGGTGTTCAGAATGAGAGTGCAAAAATACATGTTCCTCTTAGGCTGTGGAGAATGAGGTTTCCTAAGGCTCAACCCAACAAAGCCTTCAGCTGGACCAGAAAACCGTTTGGAAACCTCAGGGTGAACTCAGTGACTGAATTATTTGAGTAAGACCTGTGAACTGGGTTCTTAATCCAATAAAACACAAGTTTAGTAACAGATTAAATTATAGGATACTCTTGCACCTGTTTATTTTTCTTCTGAAAGAGCTGTTAATACAAGTGTGGCTTAGAGTACCTGTGTGTCTATACATATCCAGCCTCACCATACACAATACATCAAAGCTCATATCATGCCATACCTTTACTTTTATTACACTTTGAGGTTGGGATGGACAACTCAAGAAGACTTCCAGCTGCATTTTCACAACCGGTGAAACAACAACTTCAGAGCACTGGTTGCAATACAGCAATCCTCTGAAACATGCACATAATGATGGAAACCCACAGAGAAATGGAAAAGCGATCAGTCACAAAAGCAAAACACACAAAAAATCAGCTAGCTTATTCTCTAAAATACTTCGCTGGTAGACTTCTAGTAGAAAAGTCCTGGCAGAGATTCAGTTGGTAATAGCAAATAGAGCTCTTCTGTGGGTAGAGCTAAGTAACTCTCTTGGAGGACCTAAACTCTTCTAGCAAAAAGATCTTCCTTTTATAAGTTTTGGCAACATGGGAGTAGGTTGCTATTTATAGTCACCTCACTTAAGTATGTATATTAATCTCATAACCTTCTAGAAGTTATGGCAAAAGAAAACTTGTAGTATAGATTTGGCCCAAGTGACGTTGATTTAGGCCCTCATTCAGCAAACGTTCAACATTTTCAGCACACACATAAGTCGTACGCATAAAATTAGGCTTAACTATAAGTGCTCGCTGGAATAATGTCTTAAACAAATATTGATGTTATATTGTTCTCCAAATGAAGCAAAAGTGTCCTTCACAGTAGAGATTTCTAAAATTGAACTACACTACTATGTGTACATACACACATCCTTAATTTTTGCCTGACAGTATAATGTCAGTATAATGTCTCAGCCTGTTTATTTTCAGCCTATTTTCCCCGGAGGCTATACATATCAAAACATAAGTGGTAAAGATTCTCCTATTTAGGCAAATGGTGTCTATTTCAATGGGATCAAAACCACCCAACTTCTCCTTTCCTTCTTTTTACACTCTGACTACTCTCTTAACCTCTTGTGTTTTTATCACATCAAGTATCTTGGACTCCGCAAGAGCAAGAGGGGAGGCTTTCCAAGAGCATGCCAGTGTGATGCAGGTTTAGCAGTTCAGGTGGTAACAGGTCTTGTAGGATCAGTCTTCATGTTTGGGACAGAATTATCCAACAGCCGTTTTGGAAAGGTTATAAATTTAAAGGTCTGAAGTGCTCCTCTTTCATGCTTATGTAAATTACAGCAAAGATCACAGTTCAATATAAAAATTATGTGAATTGGTGGTATACAGGGTAACAAGGTAGAGAAACACAAGAAGCTACTTTTCAAGCAACTTAAAATAAGACCTGTGATTTATGTGGATGTTTATTAAAACTAGTATTATAATGCAGTGGGCTATAAAATCTTTATAAGTAATACTTTAAGATTAGTTTGAAAAAAATGTGATAGCTGCAAATTCAAACCATTTCATATCTACTTGTATCTTTCTTAATAAATTAATCTAACCTTGCAGGTTTTATCAATTCATCAGCAATAAAAATACTACGTCTTAGTTCTAGGAAGGAACAAAGTGCAACCTGTGCCTGCAGGAATTATTGCATCACCCATTGCTGTTATGGCTACATCTGCAAAACACCTGGGGTGCTCTGGAGCACGCTGACTCTCACCTGTCCTGGGGACACGGCTCCAACTTTCCATTGCCACATCTGTCACATGTAGGCCAGGAGAAAGCAGTGCTCTCATTAACTCCAACCACAGTACCTGCAGAAGATGAAATTCTTTCAAAATACAAATGGTAAGCTGGCAAACACAGACACTCCTGGCTTCACAGCAGGTTTGATTCTTTCTGACTCTCAGCTTAAGAATAAGACTTGTCAAAGCAAGCATCAGCTCTTCTGACAATCTCACTCTCCCTTTCTCCTTTGTCCCTCCAACACAGGATGAAGTACGGCAGTGTTACATTCTAAAAATACCAGAAGGTAGATAATCAGTAATTAACTACCCAAACAGGTTCAGTTCTTTTAGTTTGGGTTTTGTTGTTTTTCTGATTTGTTTTTGTTTGTTTGTTTTCTTTCTGGTCCTCTGATGTTTCCTTGGCAATAAACAGCTATAAAAATCATCAGGTCAGATTGCTTGATATTGTTATTTAGGAAACACAAACCAATGAGAAGACCCAACCCCTTTTGAAAACAAAGATGCAGATTAAATTCCATTAACAATGGAGTTATTCTTCACTTATACTGATTTAACAGAGATTAGATCTGGCTCACAGACTTAAATGTGTGCCTAAGAAGGGAATGCCAAAGATACTTTGGACTAATATAAAGGGCTTGCTAGCTTTGGCAAAAAAAATATATCCAGAGCTTTATGAGAAACCAATAAAGAGTGTATTATGTTTTACAGTAATGATATGCTGAAATTATGAGCATTTTATGGAGAAAATACATCTAAGAATTTTGAAGTGTACAAAGCAGATCACCTGTAAGAATGAAATTACACTACAATAAACACTCACTGGTACAACAAAAGTACAAACTAAAAACTTGAGGTGCTATTGAGCAAGAATTTCATTGTTTCATATCACATTCAATAAAAGAAACCCTTAGAGACTAGGGAGCATTGACACTGCCTGGTCTGTAAAACTGGGTGTTAATCCCTTGCTTTCCTGGTTCTCCGGAGGCAAGGGCTGACAGAAAGGGGGGAGCCACACACAAACAACAAACCTGTCATTTTTCTTGGGAATTCTGAGGACAGCAAGTCTGAAGATCAGGAAAGGTACTTCTCAAGTACAACGTTTATGACCTAATTTCTATGCACACAACAAAACAACAAGGATTACCCTGACAGAATAAGCAATTCTGTGTATTTAACCCTTTGAACTGTTGCAGGAATTATTTTGATTCTTCAGATTTTGTGATAAACTGGGAGTCTCCATCGGTGCTTGCTACTACAAGGTAGAATGCTTTCTGCCACAGCATGGGCATGTTTCTCTCGTTCATGGAAAAGAAAAGCTACCAATTAGTTTGCTGAATATATTTCCTTTTTCATTAAAAAAAGCATTTTAAAAACAAAACAAAATCCCCTTTTCTGGCAGATTTGTTTCTCTCTAAGCCTTTTAACTTTCCCCCGGTTGTGTGCCATATCGTGACTGCAGGATGGCAGCGCACAAGCAATACAAGTACATTTGAAGAAAGAAACAGGATCATACTGATGAGATTACGTCTAGTGGAGAGGTTTATTTTGACGACAACATAGAGTTCCCTCAAGAAAACCACCAGAGATCACAGAACAAACACAACTGAAGGCAGCAACAGCTCTAATAACCTAGTGAAAGTCTTGTGCATCCCACACGCAAAGTGACTTCTCAAGTTTGAGCTGAACTGCTGCACATCTTTATCAAGACTGAATTTTGCTTGACATTCAGAAACCTTCTGGATATTTTCCTTCTTTTAAATGGAAACACACATAACCAAAATTTGATTTTTACCTCTATTTTTTGGGGTTGCGGCTGATGTCATTAAGAGACTGATAGTAGGACAACATCTGGAAAAACAGGTCTCTAGTGAGGAATGCAAAGAGGGGCTAAGGATTAAAAGTAACAGTTCGGTTGAAATGTTAAAAAAAGAAATGTTGGCTTCTTTTCCCCCAAACAGTTACCCTGATTAATGAAGGGGGAAAGCTCAATCAAAAATAGAAACCTAGGTAAGCTGATTGACACCATTTTGACACTGTTAAGAGGGAAATTGAAAAAAACTCCAACCTCTGAGTAAGGGTATTGGGTATGAAAATATCCAATGTCAGAATTCAATCACTAGTGGTGAGTCATATACTAGGCAAATATCATTAATCAAGTAATATTCCCATATAACATATGTGGTATGGACTGACTAGAACTTGCCCATGAGCACGGTTAAGAGGAAAAACAGTCCTGTGCAGTGTGAACTGCCAACATTTAAGTCATCCTGGCTGCTACTGTACAGCAAAAAAGGTTATAAATTACTCTGCAATGCATAGTGATAAGAAAATAAATCTATTAACCCTGAGGTCACAGGCGAGAACCACAGACTCATTTCTAAAAGAAGAGTAAACTTTCCAGTAGAAAGCAACCACAAGTTTTCACTCATCTGCTTAAGAGCAACACACTCCATTCCAGAGCAGATATGACTGCACCTCTCTGAAACAAGGATTTCTGACAAACTCAGTGGATCTGCTTGGATTGCAACGTTGTCCTTTTAAAGCTGGGTCAGCTGTAAGGGTTGTACCAGGTTGCCAGCTTTGAGCAGGAGTTAGGACTGGAGGAACTTCAGAGGTTTCTTGCAACCTAACTTCTCCTATTTATACACCTTCCAAAAATGACCAATCGACCTAAAACCCAGCAGGCACCATGGTCTGTGCCTCCAGTCCTGGCAATCCTGAAGGCTCTCACGTGGTGACCAATCGCTATGACTGTGAGTGGGGACTTGAATGATCACCTGCACTTTTCACTGGCTAAAAATAAGGTTTTTGGGGAAGGTTGAGCCTCTGAATCCTTGAGAGCCAGGAGGAGCAGCCATGAGTGCAAAGGAGCAGAAAGGAGCACTACTTCAAGGGGTAGAGCAAAGCCTTTGCAGCCTTTTTGAGTGTTAAGTGAGAGGAGGCCCACATACAGCATACGTAGGTGACCAAAAGTACAGGAAGTGAAAGGAGGGTGCAAAGAAAAAGAATGAACGAGGTAAGACTGCTTCTCTTTGAAAGCCAGACTAATGGCTCTCTGAGCCAAGAGACAGACAGACAGTGAATTTTAGAGATAATAAATTTTCCTTCATAGGTTACTCCATCGAATACATATGCTCCCACCAACAAAGTAGAGTTAAAGCTGTTAGTTTCACCTCTTCAGTAGAAACATGTAGGTGATAACTAACTGAATTCCAAAACACTGGATATGTATCTAAATAAGTTATCATCTATATATAGCACTAGCATAGGTATATAAAAGACACTATATTCTACATCAGTATAGATGTGTGGGAACCTATTGATAACAGCTACCCTGTACTAATTTCAGATGAAGCAAGACAAAGTTGTGGGATTAATTTCTCCTTTTGTCATTCTTCCATCTGTAATACAGAACAGGGAAAGCATGACACCTCCCATCTGTGTACAGGAAGTATTTGTTAACACCAAAGATCACAAAGGTGTATTTTCTTTGTTCTACTGGAAAAAGAAAGGACAGAGAAATGTTTGCTTTATCTTACTATGTACACTGTCAGTGACACAAAAGGAGACAGGCACTTCTCCTACTTAGTTATAAAATTAGGAGTGAAGAAGTGACAATTCTTAGTGTAGCCTACTGGAGAGGTTAACAAAAAAAGCCCAAAAGTATTTCACGCCCAGTGACAGAAGTAATCTCTCCAGTAACTCACAATATCGATGTGAGATGTACATAACAACCAAGGCTTCGAGTGAAGTGCCTCTAGTTGTGCTTGTGTTTCTTTATACATTGTTAAAGATTTGTCACTGCAAGGTGCTCATTTATTAATTCCAGAGGCATTGCTAACTTGTGGCTCTACCATATGGAACGTATGTTTAGTAACAGCTTTGTGTTGTTTCAAACTGTCTTCTCAGTGTATCACGTTATAGCTGGAACCATTTGTAACCATTATTTGCTATTATTTTAAAGCTCATTTAAAGTACTCTAGTGAATACTTGAAGGTGTAAATGTAAAACAGTAACAATAATTTTCTACGGGGCTAGTGGAATCATAAGAGTTAAATTAAGAAAGAAAATAATCTTCAAAAGCCAAGAGTTATACGGCTTTTAAGGACTTTTCCCTATAGGCACTCTACAACTGGGAGGTTTAAGAAGCTGACTGGACAAAGCATTAAAAAATACACAGTAGGAAACGTTTCTGTGTGATTAGGAAATGTTGGAAAATGCACTGTAAGAAATGTTTCTGCATGGTTAGTGGTAGGACTGAAATATTAGACAAAGCAATGATCCAAAGTGGCTGGTAAGCAAATATTGGCTGAGTTATGCTAGATGACTATGGTGAAATATTAAATTGCCCCATTGCAGCAAAGCTCCAGGGAAATTAGACACTAACTCCTACCATTCAGGATCTGGCTAACATGTTTTATCCATGTGCCTAAGAAATATTGGTATACCTTACTGTTGCCAACATCAACAATGCTGGTGTGAACAGAAGGCTCCTGAAAGAAGACGGTGAAGGAAAAAATATAATAAAACATACTGTGCATCAAACATTTATTCTGGGGTATGAGTGAGTGGGAACAGAGCTTGGCCAGCAAAAGACAACAAAGCCCACAAAGAAGTATAAAAACTTAAATATCCTAAACAACCCACAGCAATACCATGCTTTTTTATCGCTCTACGTTGTTTGTGCAAGAAATCAATACGAGGACCTGAAAGATTAAAGTGAGCACAAATAATTAACAGGATTCATTTCAGGAAAGGCCATACAAACCTCTTAGAGCACAAATGGAGTTGGCCTGTGTTGTAGAATCCAGCTCATCGAGTCTGACAGGGCCAGTCAGCTCACTGAGGTCAGCACCGGCAGCCGAGCACAAAAGAGGCTTTTGTAGTAAGAGAACAGTACGTTCAACACAAATAATCCTACCTGCCAACAAAGACATTTCAACTCAGTACAGTAACAAAGAAAAAGGTGACCATGTTAATTGACATGGCCAATAAAGACAACGATCTCTGCCAGCTACTAAACAGATGGACAGACTCCATTGGCTTTTCTCAGTGACAAAATATTTTGCTTTCAGTGATACATGCTTCATGCTCTCACTACACTCCACAACTCCCAGGGAAAAAAAGATGCTTTAAAAACACGTGTTTAAAACACAGCAGAATAGAGTCCAATCCCACCTGGCCTGCATTGCACCATGCTCCCTGCAAACACAACATTACCATCTCTTCCCTGGTAATAAGCTTGGGTACCCCTTCAGGTGGTCTGTCTTTGTTTCAAAGATTACAGAGAGTAGGTGCATGCAATGCTTTACTCTCCAAAGCACTTTGGAGATCAAGCTGAAAATGTAAAAAAGAAACCTTATGGAAAAGCTCTAATTACAACCTCTTTCAAATTTCTCACCAGACTTTCAATGACCCATCTTCATCTGGGAATGAAAGTCTCTGGAGGTCACATATTGCAGTGTCAGAGATTAGGATGCTATTTCAGTTTGGTTCCAACTGCTCCAAAACCCCGTGTAAAACTTACCATTTCCCCACAGCGCATCCTTGAAGTAGACGCGTTGTGAGGCAACACTGAGGGCTTCGGTGATTTCCGCACTGAAAACACATGATGCAGTGACCGACACAGCAACAACTTTTGGAGTGGTATGAACCACATTTTGCAATGAGCTGTCAGTCACAAACAACAAAATCTCTCTTTGATTTATAGGAACACTGTGTTTTGTCTACGATTTAAAAAAAAAAGAAAGCAAACTTGGAATACGGTTGTTAATTTTTAGTGGAAGGTAAGACTAAAATAACATCGTCATATTTAAATAACTAATCAAACTGACAGAAATTATGACATTTAAGGCTCATACAGGATAGTGAATCAAAGCTTCATTGGAATTTTTTATTATTCCTTACTGCAGGTACAAACATCTCTACCTTAAATTAACTTTTCAAGGTTCACTCACTGGAATCTTGGTTTTACTTCTGTTCACTATCTCTCTTTATTATAACTTATTTGGACTGTACTAGGCATTTGAAATTATATTTTATTTTTAAAATATTATATGCTATATATTATGTATTTATATCATGTATATATTATATATATAAATTATTTGCTCTTTTTATGAACAAAGACTTATATAATTTTTGCTTTAAAAAAAAAAGGGTGAGACTACTCCTTCTATTATTCCTGTGTGAGCAAATTTTTACTGCCTGCCAAGAGCACCAGTCCTTGGCTAATACCTACTGCAAGTTACAAAGCTGGAGATTTTTCTTTCTGTTGAACAAACATCTCTAAATGTTTGAATGATACACAGAAACAGGAGAGTAAATAACTTATAAGTAAGAGACATAGGAATCCACAATGACAATGTAAGTTTTCTGCCTCAGACAGGTGTAAGAATACGATGGTGTGACTAAATTAAGGTATATCAAAACTACTGATGTCACAACCAAAATACCTACATTTCATCTTGGCCTTCATATCTGAAAATAATTATCACAAGATCAGTAGTGATTTTTAAAGTTTTCACACTGGGATGATGAACAACACAGACTGGACAGACATTATATACAAATCAGTGCTCATTCCAGGCTCTTTAACAAAATCAGATGTGTTACAATTTGAAGATTCATGCTTTTCTTTCTTTTTTTTTTTACCACAGCTTTTATAATATCTGTGTGTGTATGTGAATTTTCCCATGCTTTAGAAAATATGGGCTTATTATCAAAGCATATTCCACATTTACCAGTCGAAGCAACTTGTAAATTTTAAGATTAGAATATTTTAAAATATTTAAGTAAGATTAAATTTCTTTCTTAAATTAAAAAGCTTTTGTTACTATTTTCCT